TTAATAAAGATAACTTGTATTTTTAATAATAATTAAAACAATTAGTATTTTGACATAAGGAAAAAGGGTTTCCTTACAATTATCTTTGGAATTTTTTTTTTCATTTTGAAATTTGGATGTTGAATATGCACACTAAAATAATGAATGTTTTTTGACAAAAAAATTAATGTAATTCTTAGTAATCATAATTGCAATATTTCAAATCATTTTTTATAGCATCAACAAGTCATGTCTGTGATATTATTTATTTTCTTACCTTTTCAAATCAGCATCATCAAGTTGAAGTGATATGCTTATTAATATATGATATTGTGAGCAAGTAAATAATTATGACATTATACAAAATAATATAAATTAGATTATTTCAGCCAATGAATCATTATTAAATTCCAATTGTGATCAATTTATTTTTTAAAAAATTTCCATTACTATTATACTTCAGTACCAAGGATATGAAATATTTACAAAATATAAAAAAAAATTTATGATCAGAGAAAAATATTATTAAAATAATTATTATGGATAGCAATTTTTAATTATATCCTTAATGTCAGTTAATTTTGTTAATTAATTTTGTTAATCATTTAACTAGAAGAATGCTTTATGACAAGTGACAATAGAAACTTTTGCATTTTTGATTGTAAATTTTTTCTCAAAAATTGTCACTGTGGTGCAGAAAGTTGTAGGAACTAAGTGTCTTGCATTATAGAACTGTATATGTTGCACAAGGCAAAAGGAACTTTTTTATATTAAAGAAACCTTTGAATCCATGGCTCCTCCATAGTAAGCTTTTTTTTTGAAAAAAATTATATATATATAATCTTTGAGTTTTATTCTATCTATAGACATGAAAAATAATAATGTGGTGGAACAAAAGTATAGTACAATTTTTCTAACAAAGGCTGAAAAGTAGTTGATTATTATATAATATCGGTAGGGATGGTATAACTCTTGCAGAACATATGGTATGGTATGGTATAGCACATATTTTTCCATGCCAAGTCACACAAAATTTTATTCTAAATCCTTTTTTGGTGGGTGTGAAGGGAAGTATGTTAGATTTAAGCATTGGTATACAACCATTTTATTACACTTATACAATACCATACCATACATTTTGCAAGAGTTATACCATACCGAATGTCCCTATACTCTATAATATTCACTCATTCATAGACAGATCATCAATTAATTATTTCTTTATTTGTACATTATTGTAAATTGTTTAAATAAAATATAAATAATATATAAATAAAATAATAAGTAGAATAAATACAAATTAATTAATTATCAATTAGCAATTGATATTTAGTACTTCATTGTAATTCATCAATTTATCCAACAAATTCATATGATTCACTCAATTTATCATACTCATTAGTCCCATCAATTTCATCAATCTTTTCAATACATTTTCCATTACTATCATCATTAGAATCTAATATTAATAAAATACCTTGTTAGCAATAAAATTAGTGATTAATAATTTCTACTATATTATAATTTACCTTTATCAGAATCAATCACATGAATTTTTTCAAATGATGATGTGGTGATATCACCAAATTCTATTGATCTAGTAATGATTTGAATGGAGCTTTCAAATATTCTGATTATGTTATTGCCTAATTTTTTTGATCTGGCAGTGGCTTCAATGTTTTTTTCAGATATTTTGATTGATTGTTTTATTTGTTCTATATCATCTTTATTTAATGGAAAGTTATTGTTATCGATATCCATTAATTTAGCAATGGATTCATCTAATATTATGATTGATTGTTGTATATGGTTTTTATCATATTCATTTAATGAATCAGTAGCAATGGCTTCACCTAACACACTGCTTAATTGTTGCATTAGTTTATTAGTATCATCTTTATTTAATGAATGATTATGACTATTACTATCTTTCAGCATATATTTAGCAACAGCTTCATTTAATGAATGATTATGACTATTACTATCTTTAACAACAGCTTCATTTAATGAATGATTATGGCTATTACTATCTTTAGCAATAACGGCTTCATTTAATGAATGATTATGACTATCACTATCTTTTAGCATAAGTGAGTTAGAATACTCTATACATTTAGATGCAATAGAATCTAACATTCTACTTTTATGATATGCTGATGGATGTGATTTTTGTATTTGTAAATTATCATCTTTTGAATTACTTGTAAGCATTATAGTTTCAGTTTCTATTTTATTTAAATCCTCCTTAAAAAAATAATAAAGTTCACTAATAGTTGGTCTTTTAGATGGTTCAACATCCCAACACTTCTGCACCATTTGTGTATAATCATCAGGCATTCCAGATAATATTGGTGGTCGCATGCCTCTACATATATTAATAGCTAAATCTTTATCATGTTCTCTATTATCAAATGGTGGATGATTTGCAAATATTTCCCATATTAACATTCCAATACTATAAACATCCGATTCTTTTGTACATTTTCTCCCTCTAAAAACTTCTGGTGCAATATATGGTACGATCCCATAAATTTTATTTGATGATTCATCATCAACTGGCCCACATAAACCTAAATCTGTAATATAACAACTATTATCAGCTTGTACCAATACATTACCACTATGTAAATCACAATGAATTAAATCTTTTTTATGTATTTCATATAATGATTGACATAAACTCCTAATTAATAACATTCTATCTTTTAATGTTAATTTTAAATTATTTTTCTGTAAAAAATCTCTTAAATTTCCTAATGGTACATAAGTTAAAACCATTGCATAATTTTCTTCTGGGAATTTAGTTATACCATAACAAGGAATAACCATTTTTGTTTTAATTTTACAATAAATAAAAGCCTGAATTATTTATATAAATATAGAGTTAAATATTATTTTTTGAAAAATGATTTATTTCACTTTATATATTAGTTATTACTGACCTCATCAAAAAATTTGTTTCCAATATCATTTGAATTTAATGATTTTAATACTACATCTTGACGTCCATAATAAGAGAGTTCTTTTTTATTTTCATCATAATCAAAGATACGTCCTTTTCTCCATGATGCAGTATAAATTTTACCAAATCCTCCTTCAGTTAAATATTTCACCCCTTCAAATTGATCAAAAGGTATCCATTCCATAATATTTGTTGGAAGAGATGAACGCTTTTGACATTCTTGAATAAATTTATCAATAATTTTATTTTCAGATGTCCAAGTTTCAAAAAGCTTCTGTAAATGTAAACAAATACAGTTTTCACAGAATTTATCAGAATATCTTGTCATCTTACAATGCTTGCATTCTGTTGAATTTCCAATTTTACGGCTTGCATTCACTAATTCATATTCGTAAATATATCTTTCTCTACAATATTTTTTTTCATTTTTTGAAAGTTCTTTATTTTCTTTCACTAATAATAAATACATATTCTTTTGAGATTCTCTGTCATTTTCATTTAAACCTTTTTTATTTAACATTTTATTATATGTTAATTTTACAAATTCTTTTCTTTCCAGTGATAATAATGACAATAACTCTTGGTAAGACATTGGTTATTTTTTGAAATTTCAATATAAAATTGGTATTAGTAATTTTGAATTTTTTATTTTATCTCGAAAAATCGATTTACAGTAGCCTTAAATAATTTTTATTGGATTGGATTACTTGATAATCGTGTAGTTATCCGCAATTTTGCGCAGCATCATGAAAATATCCAATTTTATTGGTGGGTTGGGTGCGTGTTATCCTTATTTAGAAATCGATTTGGCGATTGCGGATATTTTTTGTGGATAACTACATGATTATTAATACTTGTGTAATTCGGAATTATTATTTTTTATATTAATATATACTAATACTAATACTAATACAAGATTAATTCTTGATTTTTTTATTTTATCTCAAAAATCGATTTACAGATAATAATAATAATAATAATCATGTAGTTATTATTATCCGCGCAAATTTCGTGAAACCTCAGAATATCCGCAAAATTCTGTTGTTTTTTACCGCAAATTTTGTGGTAAAATAGAATCACAAAAAAGAAATCCCGCAAATTATAACTATAAATATTCTAATTCACAAAACAATTTCAGAAATGATATCTGAAAAAAATAAATATATATAATTAATTGACAAAATGGACATGTTTATTTTAGTAAGTTGCGTTCATAACTAATCTTATTTTAGAAATCATTGGCTTAATCATTTGACGTTTTACTTAATGGTGGCATTAATCATTCTAATGGTGATGTCAGTCATTCAATTTTTAAAAGGCTTTGATGCAGGGTTAAAGATTGGTTTTCAATTTTTCCGGTTAAGAAACCGGTTTGAAAAATCTTTACCGGAAATTTAGAATTTTTATCGGAAAATTTTTATTTATTATTATTATTATTAATATTAACAATAATATTTAT